AAATATGCGGGCAACAGCTTTCTTGTCATGACACCGCTTCATGCCTTTCTGTACTACTCCTAATGTCTCCCTTGCTAGTGAACAAGCATTATGAAGGCACTCTCGGATATACTTACATATGTTAGTGCATTTGTTTTAGGATTTTCTCCAATGTCTAACATTTTCTCTTTAAACACTTTTAATGGACCTCTAACAGTATGTCCGAATACAAGTTCTGCAGGACTAAAACCAAGAGATTCTTGTATAGATTCTCGGACCGCAAATAATATCAATGGAATGACTTCATCCCAATCTTTTCCTGTTTCATAACAGTACTTTCTTAACATAGATTTCATTGTTTGATTAAATCTTTCAAGAGCTCCCTGACTTTCAGGATGGTAGGCACTTGACACCTGATGTGTGATATCTAAAGACTGAAATACAGACAAAAAGTCTAGATAAAAAATGTGTGCCTCGATCAGACTGTACTATTTTCGGTAAGCCGAACGTTGAAAAGAACGTTTCAGAGGCAGAAGAAATTGAGTTGTTCAGCATCCTTCTTTTTTGTGGGTGTTCTTCTCAACAGAGCCACAAAAACACAACAGAGACTGCTGCAGACGAATATTTTCTTTTTGTATATATATACAGTATGTAATCATGTTGCATTGCATAGTGAAATAAGGAAATTAGGATTTTCTACTGCTCTTTCTCCATTACCCAAATGGACTGCTCGTCCTCTGGAATCAAGTTACTTTTGGCGTCACATATGTTGTGTTTCTGACTAGTGATCAATGTTGAGATCTTTAGAAAATAAGAAGGGCACTGAAACAAAACTAGTGTCTGCTGTTGGTCTGTGAATGGACTGGTGATTCTACGAGATAAGCAGAACCTGGCAGGAGAAAAAGGATCCTACCATCCTTTATAATTGATAGGTGACATACAGTTGTTGTCTACAAAGTCATGTACAAAAAATATTTGCTTATCAATCGCAATGAATCTAAAAAGGAGATACCTCTCTCTGCAGTGATACCTCTTTTTGTAGCAAAAATTCTTATATTTGTAAGAATAGAGCGAATCATTTCATTTCCAAGACAGTAAAACTTTATATGGAGGGATATAATAAGTCTCTCAATAGAATCCTATATTTTGAGCAGTACTTTACCAAAAATAAATAAAAAAACACTTGAACACTATTCCAAAATAGCTGTTGTTTTGTTATGAAATGCCTACTGTAACATATCTAAAACCACAATTCAAAACATAATAGGTACTTGCTTTTATCATTAGTAAAAAATTTAACATTTACTTGTTTCACAATTCTGAGTATTTCGTTCCAGGTAAAAAAAGAGCTCCATGGCTGAAAAAGCTAAGTGCTGTACACAAATGCTATTTTACTTTATATTGAATGGAACTCATCCACTGTTTGGAAAACTATAGAAAACCTTACACCGTAAACTGCCAATATGATATATTGAAATTAATAATAAATCAGCATTGCAGTACATGAAAAAGAAATACTGCCTTACCATAGAACCAGGCAATACCAATAGCCTCAATGAGCACTCCAAAGAGAATTGATGTTCCTGCCGCAAAATGGTCCAGGAGAGTAAACACATAAATACCACCCTGAAAAAGAAATGAGCATTTGACATAGAGCTGATGATACAGCAGGGTCAATGAGTCATCTGCTATTCTACCAACATAGCAGCAATCCATAGAAGTGGAGTGTCACATCTGATTTCAGTTTATTACTGATGTTTTTTTTATACTCTTTTCTTTTTCTTTGGAAACTAGACAATTTATCAAGTGAAACAGGCCTGTGAAGGGTTTTATGACAACTATGCAAAAATGAATATATTGGTATTCACATCCAAATCTGCTATTTGTTCCAAGATCCTTTTTCATTCTTTCTTACCTTCTGGAGCACAGTTTTAATCAATAAGAAATGTGCAAATTATGAATTAATGCTTTTTTCAAATAGTGTGGCTCTTAATGCTAGAAACTTTTTTTTTTCTGAAAGTAAGCAATGACATATAAGAAGTATGCTAATGTTAATTAATATTCTCTTTGCCCATAATAATGACTGAGCTTTCCAGCATTGCAGAGTAGCAAAACTGTTCAAAGTTTGCTTCATTGAAGTTAACCACCTGACATTATCAACTTAAAACAGAATGTGAATTGACTGAGCTAGCCCTATAATCCATCTATAATGTTCATTTCTTAGACAGATTAGACTTGTGTACACATATTGATGATAAATATCAGTCCAATCACATTTATACAGTGTGATTAAAGCTCATTTCGATATTCGAAATTGAAATGTAAAAGTGAAAATCTAACGCTTTCTTGATTACATAACCTATAATTTTGAAAATTAAACGTGACAAGATACAACTTTCTCAGAGTTACAACTAGATTACTTTTAATGCAAAATAGAAAATAGCCTGTGGAAATCGCACTTTGATCAAGATAGATATGAAACTGTAATGCCACCTTCAGAAAAAGTAAAATGTTATGCAGTGTCACAACATTGTCATATTATTATTAGAATATTCACATGTATAGGGAGTAATTTTGAAAATTGCCTTTGTTCCTCCAAAAGATCTTTAACCAATGTGTACACAAACAGTAAACTGCCTATATAATTGGCTGTTTTGTTTCCTAATAATGCAGTAATAGAAGCACCTGGGACAATTTTAAGATTGGATCATACGAATGTGTAGTCTTGTTTAGTGAATTCACTGTTACCTTTTGACTCCCTTTGAAATGGATGACAAATCAGCAACAAGAACTATCGAGACTTAGATACACTGCACTAATAAACCCTATTCTGTAATTGATGAATCACCCTGTGTTACAATGATTTTCTTTCACAAGTCTTTAACATTCTACCTCAGTAATTTAATCATAACTGTTATTTGTAGGTCAAGTACTGTAGATACTATTGTAGCATTCTGCTCCCTACCTCCCAGTGTTAGACTGTTCTGTTACTCTCTGCCCTTTCACCCAGGTAACCTCTCATCCTCCTACCCTATCCTATAGAAGGGGCACACCCCTATATTTCTTTCTCTTTCAACAATATGACAAGCTATTGGAGATGTTGCTCCCCCTTTATGTCTCTATCCCTAGTTCTCTCTCTCTTTATCTCCTCAAGTGAACAGCACACCAAAGAAACCCCCTGCCTTTTGAAGCTGCATACAGTACCTGCCTCCTGACTCATCTGTGTTGCTTTTCCACTACTGAATTGGGTCCTGGGGCCGAATTGCCACAATATAGAGTAAACACATCGTGTTTAAATAATTAAAAAATATTTTGATGTAGGAAAAATATGTAGCTGCACAGGAGAACACACTGGGCTGCGATCACACTTCTGTTGACATCTTTCTCAATAACATCTGCACAATGTCATTAAAGAGGAGACAATTTTCTGTTTATACTGTAGAAGCAAAGATTTCAAGGTTAAATAGAGTATATCCATAACTTACATTTGTGACACAAAACAGGGAGATTAGGAAGGTGGTGACTACTATGAAGAGCGTGAAGAGTTCTCGGTGCTTATGCAGAAACTTGAACTCATCTATCAGTCCTGTGATAACAGACTCCATACCACCCATCTAAAAAAAATGGAGACAAGAACTTAGAATTGGATTTAGTCCTAAAAATCATTCTAAATTTAATCCAAAGGGAAGCCAAAGATCTTTTAATTTAGAATGGATCCTCTTCTCTTTATTCTGTATTCAATTTAGGAATATTTAATTTAGTATTCAACCAAAAACTTTGATTTTAAGGCTTAAAAACATTAAACAGGTAACTGCTTCATTAGCAAATAAAATATCTATATATTTTTCAATTAAAAAAAAACTAATGTAGACCCATATACTAAGATTTTTTTAAAATACATGCAGTTGGTAAAATGTTTACTTACAGCACTGTCAATACCTAAGGTCAACAACATTATGAAGAAGATTACTGCCCAGACTGATGACCCTGGTAATGTAGCTATGGCTTCAGGATATATAATGAACACTAGTCCCGGTCCTATAAAAAAACAAAACAAAGATTTCTGTATAAAAGTAACAATGTAAAATCAAATATTTTATTAATAAAATAGATATTTTAACAGTCAGTTTTTAGTAATTCATTGATCAGAGCATAATAATTAGAGCACACAATTGGTACATGGGTGAACTACTGTTTTATCAAAACAACAGAAATTACAAATGATTAAAAGATTAAGTTACTGACTAACATAAAAATAAAAAAATACCCTTTATAAGAATATGCTTTCAAAATGATCAATTTACTTTAGAATCAAAGTGCTTTTAGTCAAATTAATTTCAGTTATTCTTATTTCTAAGAAAATATAATAACTTTACAATTGAAGTACTATTTTTCGTACAAACATGAAAATAAGGCACAAGAATATTGTAGATCGATCAATCAATTTAATTCTTAAGTGGCTCCTTTTAATACAGAGCATTCCCAAGATACTTTACTAGTTAGTTTTTAATTTCCTTTTCATTTAGAAGTGCTTTTTTAGGAATTATACAGTACGTGGTCAGGTAATTGTTCACTGAGCCCGTCACACAGAGACACAGACACCCTAGAAAATGTCTCCCTGAAAAACCCTTGACTTTGAGAGCTTACCATCTGTTGCCACCTCATCCAGAGCAACTTTGTGTTTTTGTGACATGTATCCCAGGAAAGAGAAGATGACAAATCCAGAGAAAAAACTTGTCAGAGAGTTGATGGAGCTGGTAATGATGGCATCTCTGGAAAAAGATAACTTGCATTAAATGTGTGTGATTAGTTTCCTTACCTTTTGCTTTCAAACCTTTGTATATTTACACACAACGTTGCAATACAGCATTGTCAATTTTGTTTATGTCCCTTTATTGATTGATTTGGGGTTTATTTCTGTCCCTGTGTTAATGTAAATCATATTTGTTGGTAACATTTTGGAATTGTCTCAATATTAACTCAAAAAAGTATGGGAAATATCCATGAATAGAAGTATGCATGTACGTTTGACATACAATAAAAATGACTAAACTGCTATTTAACAACGATACAGTGAGCATCATCTGAAACTTATTTTCCAACATGATTTTCAGCCCAGAGCTTGATTCACTGCATTTATACACACATGTGTAAGTTTACATTATAGCTGAAATCTGTTGTTTATACACACAGTATACTGCAGATGATAATTAAAGGAAATTATTCACACACTCTTTGCTCTATTTGCTTGAGGTTTATTAATCCAGCATTTCAGCACAAAGGGTGACTGTGTCAGGGCATGAAAACCACACCATGATACATTCTGTTATACTGACAAATATACAATATATGTTAATTTCAATATAGTTCTATGGCATTCACAAACATTTTAATAAGATAAAGTTCATAATACAGTATCTGTTCGCTTTACATTGACAAAGTAAATATTAACCCTCTCTCTTTAATATTCTTGTGTAATTGATGATTCATTAGAATGTAAGAACATAAAAAGGTACATATGAGAGGAGGCCATTTTGCTCATCTAGTCTGTTTGAAAGATAATGTTTAACTAATCCAAGAATTACAGCAGGCTGTTCCCTGAAAGAAGCTAGAGTATCGGCTTCAACAACATGGCTGCATAGCTTGTTCCACTCACCCACAACAGTTTGTTGTAAAGAAGTGCATCCTGTCCTCATTTATAAATGCATTTTCACATGCATTTTCACTCACTACAAAAGTGAACTGTCTTCATCAGATAAAATAAAAAAACAGTCCCGACTACATCCTTTATATTAAGAATGGCACAAAAGAGTGACTGAGAGCCCTTGTCATATGTGGTGTATACTTTATGTACAGTATAATTGAATAATTATGTCACTAGATGATAAAAGTTTCGTGTGCCTATAAAGACATATTTGGTGGTGAAATGTTTGTTTATTTAATCCAAAGCAAAAACAGAGTGTGCAACTAATCTCCTTTAATTACCTTTGGTGAAATGCCACCAGTCAGCATCTCACTAATTTTGAGATTTTTTTTTAAATAAACAGTTTTTGAAATGCCCATAAGCATTTCTTATAGTGACATCTACAAATATAGAATTGTTCTATCATAATTGGAACGTATTCTGTTAAAGAAACTGCTTTTATGTAACATTTTATGTTTTTTTTTAATTTAAATTAAAAAACAATCTTCATTTTGATATTGTAGCTGGAGTTTCTCCCAAATGTCTTTTCTACAGTAATTTCTTACTTTCAATCTGAGATGGAATTGAATTTAAATTTAAATTTTATTTAATGCTTGTAAATATCAAGACAAGTGTACAGTGGAACTAGGAAAATGAATAATAGTACCCTTTAAAAAATCAGACACTCTGAGGCCAACTGTACTTACTACTTTGTCTTACATGCACTATTTCTACACTCATCTAAAACATGAAAGATAAAATATTAATGAAAATGTTTTACATCTAACAATAATTTACCACAATCCTTTTATGAAGTTACTTACTGCAAGATACATAACATATTTTTTGCATTCTAGGTTGTGTCAAGCAAGGTGTCTGCAGGGCTTCAAAGATATTATAATTAAACGGGTTGTGAGATGGCCACCCAATTAAAATCCCAGAATGGGATTATTTCTTACCTATAACAGTTGTTACTGAATTTGTTATAGCTTGAAAACGCTATTAGCACACCAAACCCAACTCCTAAAGAGAAGCAGATCTGAGTGGCAGCATCTATCCAGACCTGCAAAACAAATGCCCAGGGGCCAACACAAAAGAAGGAGAAAAAAAAGCTGTTATTAGAGATAATTGCAGGAAACTCATTCAGCACAAAGATGAAAGACACTTCTGAATACAGGGTAATTTTGCAAATTGCTGCTGCATGCATGTGCCTAATCTAATTCCCGAATTGCTGCTTTGAGTCATCAGTAGTGAGCGCTCAGGGAAATTGCATTGAATCTCAACCTTACTTATGGCAAATACAATATTTGTACAACTTCATCAGTTGGGAAAAAGGATTTAATGGAAATAAAACCAACTCCACTTGAAAATATTTTACACTGCATAATAGCTATAGTAAGTGTACCATTGAACCTGGTTGCCTCCATTTTGTAGAATAAAAACAATGAAGACCGTTGCATGGATTTGAGGGTAGTAGAAATGTACTGTATAAGGCAAAAATTGTTTATTTTTAACTTTGTGAAAACATATTTTTTTAGTCAGTGTAGAATAGAGCTATAGCAGAACATGTATACCACATTACATGGTGTTTTACTTGACACATTTTACTTGAGCATTTTACACCTTTACTTTGTAAGCTAACTGTGTTGTTACAGTGGGTGAGCACCTTATCTGGGATAGTTTCACTTTAAAAAGTGGCCCAGTTTCATGTTATATTATATTGTTGAATCCTGTGTTATTTCTAGAAGAGATGTTCAAACCCAGGGGATTCATTTGAATGGGAAATTCTTATAACCATTGAAAGGAAATTAAATTGGTTTCATTGGTGGAACATAAAAAGCAGATTTTGCTATTATTTCGATCTTCAAAGTTTAGTATAATGTGTTTTGTATCTGTAATTGGTGTTACATAGTGAAAAGTTTGGTTTTGGATTAACATTTACAGTACAAAGAGAATGAAACTGGAAATAAAAAATAATTTGTACCGTAGTTAATTTATACCTCATATTTTATTTAAATATACATACCTCAAGGATTACAAAAAAGCAAAGCTCTGAAGGACGAATGGACAATTTCAAGAATAAAAAAGCATACTACCAAGCCACTTATACACCGTGCAGCTGGGTAAACAGGATAAGGGGACAAACTAAGTACATATACTTTATGGAGAGCAATTAAGGAAATCTGTACTTTCTACCACAATGTTTTCATTTTGTTCAGCTACAAAAGGTGCCTCAGTTGGCTAAGAGTGTTCAATCCCAGCCTCTTTGGATACGAAAGCGGCACAGGACTATGCCTCACCACTTAAGTGGGCCTGTAAAATTTACTAAGTGGGATTTGCCTTTTGTAATTCCTGTAATTATGTTACCTCCGTAGTGGCTTGGGTTTTTTGAAAAGAGAAACTGTGAAAGCAGAACAGACTCACGGAGGCTTCACAAAGGCGGAGGAAATCGACACTCAAGTAAGCTTTAATGCCATCAATGGCTCCAGGGAGGGTAACTCCACGGAGCAGTAACACAGTCAAGACAACATATGGCATGGTAGCAGTGATCCACACAACCTGAAATACAGAAGTCACATCAAGATTTGTACCTTTTAAAGATCACATCATTTAAGCAGTGAATGGTTAAATTTAACATTTTAGAATGGGTTTAATTTGTTTTCTAATTCAAAGTTAGCTTAAATTCAGAATGAATGGTGAAAGGGCTTGTTTTGGGACAATCATACCTACATAAAATGATCAGATTGTCTATAGGAGAAAATAGTGATAGTTATAATATAGAATCAGAGCTGGCTAAGAGTTGCATATGTGTTCAAACTCAGTGATTTCTATTCAAATACTCCCGGAAACAAAAATAGTTTGTAAAAAAGTATTGTAATTTAAAAAATATTTATAAAACAAAAAACTATAGATTTGTACCTGATAAAATAACAGTTTTTAGTCTTTAAATTAATTTTTATTCTTTTAATAAGTTTTCTAAATTAATATTCATCTTCAGCTTAACCCCACACCTTTCCTGAGGTTTTGACTCCTTTCCATAAGCTGAAGTAGAGAATCACAATAACTACAACCAGGCACGATGTCAGCTGCCATCTGGGCAACCCCAAGTCATTTATTCCTTCACTCTCATGAACGTGCAGCACGCCTCGCCTACAAGAACAGAAAGCAATGGGCAATTATGTCTACACAAGCTTTAATTCTGCATGTTGTTTCAAACTAGTACATATCACAGACAAATAACTAAAAACATAATTTTATCTTTTTTATTTCCAGTCAATTTTTAGAATACAATATAAATTTAGAAAAAAGATTGTGAATTCTTTACCAGATTTTAATGTTAATGGAAATTGTTGTAATGGGCATTTATCTTTTACTTTTGTTAAAGGATTAAAGATTTTTACTTTTGCATTAGCAGTCTGCATATTCTTTGCTGTCTATGTGATATGCTTGCAGTGTGGAAAAAAAACTGCCAGACTATATTATAATAAGAAGCACATAGTATGGATTACAATGTACTGTACAGCATCACTTTCTGAAGCAAACTATTCTTATTTAAATGATGTTCCTTACATTAAACACTAAAGCGCCTTGAAATACTTTTAAGGCCAATTGCAAAGGCTTTAGAATCATCTACAGGAAATAAATTCTAACACTTTAGGTTTCTATACACATTAAACACTTAACACTGGCTATTCTTCTACATAATCCATAACACAGATATATATTATCATTTGGTCTTTATTACTTTTTTATATTTTTATACATATACCATAAGCTTGTAATCTCTTGCTTCTGTAAAATTTTCATTTTGTTTTAAATTTGTTTTTTATATATGTATGTACATAAACATCTGAAATTCATTACATTTTACCACCTGCACCCACACTCCAATCCATAATAACTCTCAAACCATAATTTGCCTTAAATCGGGTAGCAGGTGCAGCAGCCTCGGCATGAAGAGTGAATGCATCTTTCTATTGATGCTTCAATAATTAATATAAATAAAACTCCCAAAAATAATTTTGGCATTCAGGACCATTGACATTTCCAAACAAAAAGGACTACTTCAGACAGTGAAATACAGTTATACGACATTCATCCTTGTGATGAGGATGTTTTTTTTTATACATATTCATTGTGACAGAAATAATCAATAAAAATCTCTTTGACATGTGAAAAATTATGATGTGTGCCTCCAGAAGGTCAGTTTAGGTGACATAAAATAAACGTACTCAAAATACTCTGCTGCTGGGGTTGATTTGTGTGTATCATTTAGAGTTGAGCTGTTAAAGGACCAGAGATCAGAACAGTTCACGCTGTTCCAGGTATTGTTGCAGTCCACCCAGGGCAGTTTGCCAGTAAAGGAGGAGAAGAGGTAGAACAGAGCCCAAGCGATGATTACATTGTAGTAGAAACCCACATAGAGGGAGATGATGATTACAGTAAAACCAACACCTACAAGAAAAGAAAAGAATCATTCTGTTGAAATGGTCAAAATCATCATATTTGGATTCAAAACTGATTCAACTGATTCAAAAATAAAATAAAAATGTAAATAAAAAATGTCAATCAATTTTACGTAAATATAATTTAAACAAATATAAAGCTGATAACCTTATGTAATAGTTTTGTTAAATGATATGTACTTACTGAATTGTTGTCTTAGCGGTTATAAGATATGTTATACTTAATTAGGCTCTATGTAACAACTAAACAAAAGAGAGCTAAGGAATAGTTTCATACAGTACTTCTGTGTTCAGCATGACCTTTACATTATTGTATCATATCCCATAATTCAATATATGCTCAATTTTATTGCTAAATGTCTGTAAACTTACATGAATCGTGACAGGTGAGCTACTACAGCACCTGAGTGCTTAACCTAATGACGGCCATGGTGTGCTCCAAATTCTTTGTTTTTTCTCTGTAATTTCTTTAACCCATCCTGTCTTTTTTTTACTATTTCTTGTGTGTTCACCCATTGTTATTTAAAGTATAAATGTTGGTTTTTTTTAGCCATCCAAAACTGTCCTTATAATTTATATAAAGAATACTACACATAAAATCTATGATACAACAATCTTTTTCAGCAGTAGTTTGTAACTACTGTAACGACAATGGGCAATTTCAGACACTGAAATAATTGAAAAATATATATAAGCTAGTTTGCCTTTCTGTTTTCAACATGCTGCATCACTTTTCTACATAATTGAATTTGTTTTACTGTCCAGGTGTTGTGAGTCTGTGATTCCCACATAAAGAAAAATTATATTAAGCTTTGAAATGTGAATTCATTGTGCTTGTGCTAATGATTTTTGCCAAAAGGCTCCACACGTGTTTTCTCTTAGCCATCCAACGCATTGATCTCAAAGAAAAAAACATGTTTATCAGTGTAATTACTGTAATTTCCTGTTGAATGACATCCAATCTAAAAGCTGGGCTTGTGATTAAAATGTCAAAATCTTTAATGTCTCAATGGGCTTTCTCAATAATTGTCATGTCAGTGATTTGGATTGCTGAGTTTCATTCTTTCTTTAACTATTCATCAGCTTAAAAAGTTTGGCCACAGAGCCATCTTTGTTGGTAGCAAATATGAAACACATTTACAAAAAATATAACATAAAAAAGAAATAGCATTGCAGATGCATTCATTTTAATGACCTGGGCATCTTTTTGAACAGTTGTCTGTGAAATACTGACTACAGTATGTAACATTATGAGCTGTTGTGGTTATAGCTGATTAGCCACAACATTTCTGTGGCTGTCACCAAATATGATGAAAGTGCTGTATTTCTCATCAAATGCGTTTTTAACATAAATATTATAGTTTATAAAATTATCTAACATAATTTACACATTTAGCCATTTTCCATCACGATAAGGTGCCTAGGGAGTTTGATACAAACACATATTTATAATATAATTAATAATTCTAATTAATATTTACTTGCATTTACAAAGGATGAGGCCCACTCCATCCTCCACTGAAATGCAGTTCCCCCCCGATTTTGACATGTGGCAGCCATTATGTGCATAACCATTATGCATCAGATCCATTCCAAAAAGTGAGAAATCACTTCAACAAGCCCAAGAGGTGGAATTGAAATACAATACTGAGAAAGCACTTTTACTTTTACAAAAAGTCCTATGACTTTCAATTATGAAGTAGTCAGGATATTCAATGTCTCATCTGAAATCTTCATACATGACAGTGTCATGGTTCCACCCCTGGAGCATGATTTTGCAATTCTGGTGTAGAGGAAGAATGCTACCTGCTAATTCTCCAACACTTACAGCAGCAAATTATTAGGTTTTTTTAGAGGTTTCCCACCCCTGTATTGAAAAGGCCCCACTTGTTTAACATTTGAGGACTGGTGAGATCAACGTAGTAATACATGCTGGTAACACTTGTAAGGATGAATATAAATATTATGCAAGATATTGTGATATGGGGAAAGCGGAGAGTGTTTGTAGCACAGAAGTTAGATTATTGACAAATACTAGTCCTGACACCAGCTCATGTGAAAGCAAATTATGAAATTCTGAAAGAAAAATAATAAATCTTCCCCAATTGTCAAGTTGTACCAAACAAGTTTCTTTATTTCTATGTGATCACTTCGATGGTTTTATGGCTTATTTATCTGTGATCAGTCTGATGGTTGAAAGAAAAAAAAATCATAACCAAAAAGACCAAAAGGATTTGTAATATAAAACTAATGCACAAGCTAAATCCTGCAATATCATGGTATGTGTAGTAGGAGTGAGTTACAGAGCTCAGCTTTCATAAAACAGGCACAAATCATTACCTTACCAAAGTTAGGATACATTCTAAACTGAGTAAGCAGGCCTGTAGCCCCTGTACAATAATTAATTCAAATCCAAAACAAGACAAATTTTAATTGGAGGATATAATATGAAAGTTATAAAAAATTACAAAAAATGATTATTTCTCTATACAGTATTTAAGCTAAATATACTGTATATTTAAGCTCTTTGGTATCCACTATTCTTTAGCTTTTACTCTCACTTGCATACTGTAGAAATAATATGCATTACATAGAAATACATTTATGTACTTCATTTTATTAAGTCCAGAGTTTGCCAAGAGAGTAAAAACAGTGAGTGTTATTTTAAGTATAATATATAATCAGAAAAGTTTATATTATGCTAAAACATAAAGGGATTTCAAGGCTCTAACAGTCCTATGCCTAATAATAAAAATAATAGTAATTTTATTTTCAGCTTTAATTGTATTTTCTTTATTGCTCTTTAATTATAAATAAACACATAAACTATTGCTCTGAAAGTATAGTGCTTTATCTGGAAATTTGTAAAATAATGGTTTTGAAATGACAGGAAAGGTTACAATATTTCAGTGCAACACCTCAAGAGAAGTAAATTTATAGCACATTGATGTGTTTTTCTGGACCCTGAAAAATAAATCTAAATGAAGAAGGTGGAAAATATGAACAACAGAAGCAATCAGAAAGACAAATATTGAACCTAAAAGCCTGTGGAAATGTTCTGTTTTGAATAAAGAAGGTCACTTTAGAAATGCTTGTAATGTTTCTGTAGATTTGAAAAGAAAGTAGAAAATTTAGACTATAGATAATTGCATTCATTTCATGATTTGTTTTCAATTAAAGAAATTTGTGAAATGTCTTATAATTAGTTCAAGGACGTTTTATGAAAATACACCAAAACTAAAGTCTAACTAAAACTAAAGACTAATGTAGAAATTGATGCTTATGAAAAGTCATGGATTAACAATGCATAGTGTTATGCACAAAACATTAAATATTAAATTCTGTAATAAGCTCATAAAATTGTACAATGGAAAACTCACATTCAATTAAATTTTTTTATACAATCAAAGTAAATACCTTTGAAAATTGGGCAGATTTTCCAGACACCTGCTGCTCCTTCTCGGTTGTACTGCCCCAAAGCCAGTTCCATATAGAAAAGGGGCATTCCAGCAATAACCATGAAGAAGAGATAAGGGACAAGAAATGCTCCTGAGATAGTAAGAATAACAACAGAATATATTAAAAATTAGTCAGATTGAATCAGAACCAGTAAATGTTGCAATCAGACATTTTAAAAAGTACAACATTTCATTATAGCTGCATTATATGCTGTACATAGTAGATACTTTCCTCAGATGGTTTAGTTTTGTTTTTTAAATGTACGTTGTGCTACACATCAGACCAAATAATGCTTTACAAATTCATTGCACTCCACCATGTTTCCATGGAAAGACAAGCCAACTCAGTATTGTCATGTCATGCAAATTGAGTGTAATACGAGGACGTTTTATTTAAACTAATTATATATATTAAAGGTATTTTGCTGTTTTCACAGAAAGTGTACTACTGTAGGTTCTATACTGTATACTAACTAACAATTAAAGGAGGGGGAGATGAAAGTCAGAGGTTTTCCGTGATACAGTGTTCCACTGTAATTGTTTGAATACCTGTTACCATAAAACAAATGAGATGTGCAAAATCTGTCATGTCATATTAATATTTAAATTCCGTTAGTGGAGATATGTGTGTTATCAATGACAACAGGTTTTAAAAAAGTGATTTCTGGCACTGTTGAGTAAAAATCCAACAAAAACACATATGAAAAATATATATTTATTGTAAGTGAGGAATGGAACTCCCATCTCAGAGAACTAAATCATAATTATAAACTTGTGGAGATGTGGAATTTTAGAGATTTGTGCTGTGTGTAGAGACAAGTTGATGATCTACATCAAAAGATAAAATCACTGAGTGTTTTCTAGCATCAAATCCCTGTGCCTCAGTATCCGGTGTAAAAGGGAAACCAAATGACAGTATGACATTACCATATGGTTAGTAATCTATTCTTAGCATTCTCTTAGAATCTTCTCTTTATAATGTGCACACAGTAAAGGTCAACTCTTTTAAGTCTTCACAGAATCTGGGCCAAGAGCATAAAGGATCACAACCCACAGTGATATTTTGGCTTCAAAAGTACCATGCACTAAACTTATTTCTATCCCTAGAGATTGAAGAAGGAAAATATGCTGGGGGCTTAATAAAGTTTTGAATAAATTACACGTACTGTAGGAGTAGATACAATTTTTGTCACTATACACTATATATAGTGTATACTAAATATACACTACACTATCATAAAACAAAATCTGATCAATTTCTTTATTTGACAGATACACCTGCAATTTAAGTATTTGTAGAATAAAAAATGCTAAACTTAACACTGTTCTTCAGTGTGATGAAGGATGATTGTTAGCATCTCTTCATTGTCTGTAGCTAAGTCTAAAAGAAATATCTATGAGATTGTTTGTGTGTGTATAGAATAGGGGGGATGTTTTAAAGTGGACTAATTACAAAGACTTAGACTAGAAAAAATCAGTTGCTCCCTGCATTGATTGGGTTATATTAACTGTTCTTTTTCTGATAATACAATCAAAAATAATAATCATAGAACAGGTTGTTGTTATTACTATAATTACTATTATTATTGTTGCTGGTGGTGGTGCTGCCACTATTCTGATGATTAAGCTAATTTTACGGTATGCTTGTAATAAAATCATCTGTGATGAGTTGTTTTCTACTGCTTATTAAAATTGAAACTGCACATTTTCTACTAGAAAATGCGTGGATAGAAAACTATTCAAATGTACTGTATACTATTGTCAATTTCAACCAAAAAAGTTATCTTGATGATAACATGTTATTTTTCCTTTATTCTGTTTTGAACATTCATGTTCTGGAAAAATTAGCAAATAGAGAACCATAACTGTGGATCACTCTAGCTCTAGGTCTGCTTGCAAACATGGATGCATAACAGTGTTTCCCAATTAATTCCTGTTCAATTGTTAGAAGATGTAATTGGAGGTTAAATACTTTGCAGATATAGGCTGAAAATGTGATTGATGCCGCATGCCCCTGTCAATCGGTGGAGATGGAATATAGCCAAAGCTGCAAAACCCAAGGCTACATGCAATCTAATTTCTGTCAAGCACCATCCATTTTGCTGCCTTTGCCTTGACACCTGCTCGAAAAGATAAAGCTTGATTCAACACCTTACCTCCTCCATTTTTGTAGCACAGATAAGGAAACCTCCAGACATTGGCCAGGTCTACTGCAAATCCAATGACTGAGAGCAGAAAGTCAATTTTCTTCCCCCAGGTTTCCCTTTCTTCATTACCAGGACTGGTCGGGGCGGGGTTGATCAAGGTGGAATTTGTGAATTGCACTCCATTCTGCTCCTTCACCAATATTAGCTCTACTTCTTTGGGACCCATGGTATTTGACTGTTTGGCTGGAGCAACAACTGAAGACATTTGTGCGACTGGTAGTCTGCCTTTGATCATGGGGAGGTCCAAGCACCCTAAGATGAATTTTCCAAGCCAAATACCCACAGCTACAGTTTCAAACTACGTAGGACCTCAAACTGAAAAAAAAAGAGAACAGGAAGGTCAAAAACCCAACTCTCTGTTTTACAATACTAGGTCCAAATGACTGGACTGCTGTTTTACAGTTAACATTTTTAGATACCCAGCCATTAAGAAAAAAATGAAAATTCCATTTTATAGCCTTACAACCATAACCGTTTCCAGTATATTTTTTACCATTTTTCACTGACAGTGAAGATCAGTTTTGTAACATGAATAAATATTTTCGACATATCTGTGAGTGACATTAGTTCTTGCCTTTAATGGATGCATTTTTTTAACAGTCATCTTAGCTCCAAATATTTGATGTGTGAATTCTTTTAATATAATTGGTCATAAATAATTAAATAAAGAAAAATAAATCTTAATTGTATGTAAATATGCAGTTGGTATGTGAAAACAGAAAAGCAAAAAAATATTTTGTAAGAAAAGCTTTTAAACTTGTTTTGTAGTTTTAATATAGTAGACTTGTTATTAACATCATATTATTGGGTAGTTCTATCAACATGTTCTAGTAGATACATAATATTTACCTTTAAAGAAACATAAAACATGAACATTATAACAGTGGAATACACTAAAGAAAAATACAAGTCTCCCTTGTTTTTTCTTTGAATTATACTGTACATTATTTTTCGAATTTTTATTAAAATATACTTCTAATCTTGTTGCTTTTATTGTGGATTAATCTTACTTTCTTTTACTTTCGTTAAATTAAGTTATATTTTCACCTCCATCAAAACTAATTCTGAAGTGACTGTGATGAGGTTTATTCATAGAATTTTATTCAGTCTAATTTATGAAATACATATAAAATATACCAACTACTGTGGTATTGTGTTGCCGTTAAGTAACTGTAGGTTGTTAAATTATAAAGATTTAGAATTGTTTACATATAACTTAAAACTAATGTAAGATTAATTACTGTAACAACACAGTGAAAAATACATGTTGCTTGTTGAATCAAAATGAAAAGCATGGAAGCCTCCTCATTAAGAACTGAAATGTATGAATTAATGATTGGAATGGGTTATGTTGAAAAATAAGTTAAATGTCTCACCTTTTTTTTCAGATTTTTTTTTAATTCAGAGAAAGTTTTATTTCCAGGTTTTCCAGTCGTTTCTTCTCCCCAGATGTCCCACTGTATTGTAGCACTGAACCTTTAAACTAAAGCTGAAACCATATTTGGTAGATCTAGACGAACCTTGGTTCTATGAGTGTAACAAAGTTGCCTTTCAGGACCTGAGTATCATGGAAACTGTTAATTATCAGTTTAATTTCAAAGAGATATTGCAAAGTTCATTTGAAAAAAAAATAGCCCTCTTGAGTTAGCGGCTGTTCTGTTGGGGCCACTGAACTCTGTGGGTCTGTGGAAGAAATCTGAGGTGCCACACTAGAAATATGAGAGAAACATAAACACTCCCTCTCTTCCGCTCACTCTCTCTCTCACACACAAATCACCAGTTCTGCCTTTACCCCCTCCCTTAGGATCTGCAAACTATTAGATATTCACACACACATTGGATGACATATTCTCACAACTATGGCAAAAAATAACATTAGAAACAACCCCGACCACCTTCAGGGTTTTGTGAAACTGATCATGTTAACAAAAGTAAAGAGTTACGCTATTTGTTTCATTTGTCTGGCCTCCATTTTCCTATGAGCAATAAAAGACTAGAGGTGTACAAGGTTATAAAATAAATGTGCTTTAGTGAGGTGAGCAAAGCACTTATAATTCAAGCTAAACTGAGCATAACAGCAATGAATGGCATTGAATTGTGGCTTTTAGAAATGTTCCAGTCCTTGGAAAAGCTCAAAATAGGTGAATACAAATATGATTGTCAACAGAATTTTCATAAGAGGAAAACACGGGCAATTGGAGATCAAACAGAAGGTTATTGTTTTAGCTTTTAGTGGAAATTGCTGCAACTGAAGCTGAAACAAAGATTTAGTTAAAATCCATCTTTGCAAAACTCAGGTTATACACTAATGTTGAATTGAAGAGCAGCAAATCAAATAATATGTGCACCTATGTTTCTTGTATGTTAAGAAGCATAACAAAAATGTGATTTTGTATGTGAAAATAGTGTTTATATTCTCATGTTCTCTTTTGGTTGAAAAAAAGAAACATAGCATACTGAACCTACAGTAAATAATAATTGAATGTGTACTGTAAAAAATAACTTTGAAATAGTCATTTGCTACTGTATAAGGTTGAGTAGTTTCTATACCAAATTTGTATGGGGTTCATTTTCCAGTACTACAAGCACCAGAAGTTTAATAACACACACGTATATATTTCAGTGCATATAAACCCATTTTACATCAATAGCTACTAACATTTCAGTGACATTCTCTGCCCTTGTCTTGCAAATATTCACTCTCACCTGCCCTTTTGAGAAATCACATTACATTTAATTGTCAGATCTCATAATCTAATAAATTACATTGGTGTGGTTTCAAATCTCAACCATTTTCTGACAGCAATTACACAATTACTGCTATTGAGATTTATGAAAAATAAAACACAAGATCACAGCAAGGTTATTAACAGGTGGTTACCACATAAACCTGCACAGGAAATATACACTGCTTGCATTATGTCAAAATGTCACATTCAACAGCAATCCAAACCATTTTATTTTCTGTCAGCAACAATAAAATATGAAAAATGAAGTCAAAGTGCCTCACTCAAAATGTTCAGCTTCTTTGCATTTCAGTTAAATAAAGAATGAATGACAGAAGGGTCAGAGAGCTCCTTGAATAAAGCACTTCACCTGTAATGCACAACAAGCTCTATAGCCTCCGATTTATTTGTTCATCTACAGACTGCATTTGCCAGTTGTTACTAGAAAACCCTAGAAATAGCACTGAATTAGGAACTTTCCCCTTATAGCAAGTAGGGCTTCCTCCAGATTCAAGGGGTGATGCAGCACCCCAAGTAGTAATTTTTATTTTTAATTCATTACTTGTCTGAAACCTTAAACTATGAAGTTCTGTAGTACAAGGATCATCATCTTCTTTTACGGATACTACAGCTGAGTCATTGTTATGAACATCTGGATTTATTTTATTATTTATAGAACTAGTTACCATCGGTGGGAGTTTGCTTCTCCTTGTACTTTTTCCATTTAGAGAAAAACAAAAGCTGGGAAACTAAACTTTATGAAAGATGAAGAACTATAAAAATAACAACAATATTCCCATGACATGCAAAACAGGCTGTGCATCGAACATTGAAAGCCTCAGCCTCCTCTTATAATTATGCAAAAACACAGTAGCAACAAATACAGAACAAACTAATATTGGAAAAATAGATTTGGTGTTTTCAATGCCTCTCAGTGTACTATATTATTCTACTTTTTATTTAAATGTGTTATAGTGTTTAATTTATATAACTGGGATTTAAAATTATTTAAAGTATAAAACTTTCACTTCCAAAGCTGATGTGCTCCATTACAACAGGATAACTATCACATATACAGTAGTAAGACACTCCATGCTGTCAGCTGGAAGAGTTTTCGGTAGTTTTCTGTCCGAGTTATATTTCCAGGTGTTGCATTTAAGTGAAAAATTAAGGGGAAATATGACTGGTGAAATATGAATGTTGAGCAACTAGACACAGATCCTCTCCACATCTGTCCACTCTTGCATCAGTTGATAAAGCTTCCATCTTCCTTAGTGCAGTTCAGCTCTGGAATCCTTCTCCACATTCAACTTTGCCAGAGGCTCAGGGTCATGGTCTTTAAAGCAGTTCACACCTCTGAAGAAGGCTTTTCTACTTTTCACCATGGAATTCAGATAATCCTTTTCCTTTGTAGTTGGCATGCTGACATGGCACCCCACTTGAACCTCTTCAGCGAACAACATAGGTGTGATTGAATATCTGGACCCTGACAGCCAATTACATTTTTGAACATGGCAGACTGTTTTATATTGGTTTTTTTTTCAAATATCCATGAGTAAAACAAGAAAACCTAGTCCAGTGGCAGCAGCAAGTCATCACATGCATGAAAATTAGAAGAAGTACAAGAAAAGACAGAAGCACTGAATTAAGAAATGTTTAATCAAAAACAAAGACAGCATACAAAAAGGCTTTGAACTTATTATTAAAAAAGCTTTTTCATCTACAAAGAGGTGTCCAATTACTAGGATTTATTCTTGATATCACATAATATGCTCAAATCATCTTTATGTGTGTGCAACGCATGAATGAAATGGCAATGTTCTTAATGAATACCAAGGATATGAAATTATGGTTTTACAACATTTGTTATTCTACATTGAAGTTTTAAATAATGTAATAGCGACAGATATACTGCAGAATGCCTATTTCGGTGTTCTACATATATATAAAGTAACTGTATTGTTAAATTATTTGAAATAATGGGCTCAACTTTAAATTTTCATGAGACATTCTAAATAACCAAATGGGATGATTGATAAGTCTTTGATATATAGTAACACATTCTTCATCTTAGTGGGTTAAAAAGTCACCCTCTCACTGACCCGTGCCCTCCTCTCCAAATACATTCTTCCAAAACAAAGACCAGACCGCTGGTTTAAACCCTCTTAAGTACTGCATATCTCTGCAGTGTGTCAATGTGTTCTGCTCTGTGTAAATGACTTTAAAATCAAGAAACACTTAACCTTTGTCTGTCTGCTCAACCATGTGGTGGAGACATGTTCACCGTATGGTGTTGTTACTTTGAGGAAAAATTAATTCCTTACTTTTTTCCGCAAAAATAAAGATGGTAAAGTTATACTTACTGCAGAAGTACTTGATTCAAACGAGTGAAGAATTCGGTTTTCTAGATTACTTTTCTCATGGTAGTTAATATACAACTTTGTAGGTAAGATCATAAACTTTTACACAACGGAGCAAGTAATTCAGTATTTAATTTGAAAAGTTCAATTGAGTCACAATTAGACAACCCTTGTTTTGGAAAGTTATTAGGTATTCATGTTTTAATTCTGGAAGAGATAAAAAAGTACTTTAATAACCATAACTGGTAAATGATTACATATTTTTAGAATGACTGGCAGCAGACATAAAGCAGCGACTAGTCTGGAAGTATTGCTCATTACTTTATGATGTATTTCCCCATGTCAATGCCAGTAGAGCTTGGAATGAAAGCTGCATATTTTTATACCTACAGTATAAACTTGAATCATTGTCCTTTTCATAAAAAAGTTTAATAAAACATCGCTATTTCACTATTTGCTCTGCTTTGTTTCATTGTCCGTTTAGTTTTGGCTCTGGCTTGGGATATCTTACCAACAATAAAAAGACAAAGTAAAAGTGAAGTCTGACTTTCAGTTTGCATATTAAAATAAAAACCCAATTACAACTATCCATTATTTGTTGGACAAGACTTTTGCTATGATATGAAATTCAAATTTCTTGCCAAGTTAGAAAATATGAAATTTCACAAGCATTGTAAGGTAAACAATCAAGATGCTAAAATTGACTTCACACAAATAGATGGGTTATCTCTTCTGTTGGACAATGAAAACAGCTCAGTAAACATTTTTTTTTCTGTGTACTGAATTCAGTGTGGCTCTAAAACAGTAATATCGTATATGTAATTTCGGCATTTAGAAAAAATAGGTAATGACATTTATATTCTCTCTACAGTGAATATGGATCAGAACTAGTTCTTCACAGTAATTTCTTAAAAATTCAGATGTTTAAATCTGGGTACAGGATTTTGTTTTGAAAATATCACCTTTAGCAGAACAGAACTCCGAGAGTAATTGTTCTTGGATATTTTAATACTATAACTGTGGGTTCCTCTTAATACAGGTAGGTTATTTCTCTCATGATGCTACTAAAAATGATATCTGAGAAGAGTAGGGCGCCATCTGTAGTTTGGTTGAAAACTGTAAGTGTGACTTCTTATGAAGTTCTTAATGAAAGCAGCTCTGTGAAACCTACAGTATCTCAACATTTCTTAATGCCCTGGCATTCTAAAAAAACACCTGCTAAAAGATGTATAATAGCTGGCAAAGTGAATGAGCTGCTTATGCTTTTGAATAGACACACAGTTCCTGGTGAAATACTGTACTGTAGATAGATGTACTGTACTGTAACTTCATCAAAATCAGGAGTTTCAAACTCAATTATTTAACTGATGAGATTGACTTTGTTTAAAACAAAATCTAGAGTACGTTTTCATGATTTTCTGAACAGCAATTGTTACTTATGAAACACACAAAAAAGAAACCACATCTGTGACATCAAGTACAAAACCTGTAATGTTGGTTTCCAGTTCAAATTCATATGTTCCACTAGTTGAGATCAGGAGTTCCTAGCATACAGTGATAGAAGGGCTATGTCAGGAGGGTTAGGTAGTGCAAAGAAGGGAGATCATGAGAAACTT